CGGATTCCCAGACCGTCGGATTCCCAGGACGCCAGGGAAAAGACGGATACTCATTCGAATCTGTCGTCACGATTGCTGCCATTAGCTAAGGTCATCTGTCATCTGTCAACCCGTCACCCCGTCATCGGTCGCCTTAGGTCGAAAATGGCGGGAATCCGGTACTCCAGCGATCCGTCAACTGTCGCCTGTCAGATCCTTAGTTCACGTGAACGATGGTCGCCAAGGTTAACCAACATAATTTACAATCTCGAATAGATTTTTTTCAACGTAAAAGAGGTTAGGAATTGACGACTCCCCCACTCTAAGTGGGGGTTATGTTCATCGGCGCGTCTCCGCGTGGCGGGCCCCCGGGCAGCCGATCGTTCAAAGCGGGGGTTATGTTCACCTCGGCGGCGGAAATCCTCATCGGGGCAATTGAAAGTGCGGTTATGTTCATCGGCGCGTCTCCGCGTGGCGGGCCCCCGGGCAGCTGTCTAACGATCGTTCAAAGTGGGGGTTATGTTCACCTCGGCGGCGGAAATCCTCATCGGGGCAATTGACGACCGAAAAGTGCGGTTATGTTCATCGGGGCGACTCCGCGGGCGGGCCCCGGGGCCACGGGCAGCTGTCTAACGACCGTTTAAACTGGGGGTTATGTTCGCCGCTCATTGGTGAAATCCTCATCGGCGGCGCGACTCGCAATTGACGGATCGACCGTATGACACACACACGGACAGCTGACAGATGATGATGACAGACACCTGACAGATGACAGATTCTAATCCAACCGCCAGAGGGCGCCGCCGCCGCAGCCGATGGCCTTTTTCTCCCGCGTTCCACAGCCAACAAAAACTGACAGCGAAAAGAAGAAGAATTGACAACTAATAAAAAAGAAGAAGAATTGACAGATGACAGGCCGCCATCTTGAATGGGGGCCCCACACGGGGCGGAGCCCTAGGGCTCCGGGGCCCCACAGTTTCGGGGGCCCCCACGGGGGGGCGGAGCCCTGCATAAAGAGCCCCCCAATCTACTCGAGTACCACTTTCATAGAATGTTAAATTATAGACAGCGTATCTACTTGTGAATCCAATTAAAAAATTATCACCATGTGGTGTTCCCAGAACTTTCTGCAGGTCAAATGATGTGCAGAGAACAGAATTATTATTTTCTTTGGCATTAGACAAACTTTGGTCTTCTAGAAATTTTTTCTTCATCTTATCTTTTTCTAAAATATGGCGTGTAAATTTCTCTGTCTCATCTTCTGAGTGAGGGCCTACAAGTCTGTTAAATTGCTCACATATGACACACTTGTCTTTTCTGGGTACATGAAAAGTTATATTAAATTCGTCGTGAAAAATTTTTTTGAAAATAGCTAAACTAACGAATGTTTTATTTTCATTCTCTTGATTGATCTTATATAATCTGTGTAAATTTGTTATATTTTTTAATTCACTTGGTAAATACTTCCTGGTGCTCTGTTTTCGACAATAATGTGAAGGTACAGCCGGTAGCATTTTTATAAAGTTAATTACATCAGTCCTTACATTATCTGGAGTTTTATTTTTAGGTGGGTGTTTACCTCTTCGATCTACTTGAGATACTGAGATTTCATTTTGGTGAATTTCTGTATAGCGAAGAAGTTTATCAGTAACGTCCAGCGTGTTCATAAAAAATTTACGACAAACTTTTACCTTTTCATTCAATAAAGGTAAATAGTAGTCCCTTGTCAAGTCTTTTCTACTTTCTGCGTTGTCAACACGGCGTCTTTTCACCTCTCGAACCGTAATATTAGATGCAATAAAGTCACGTTTTCCCTGGTAAGATAATATCTCCCAAAAAGTTTTAAATAAGCCTCCTCTTGTTTTTTCATCAAAGTCTCTGCACCTATTCGGACACTTCCCTATCAAGCAAGTATGTGGCTTAACTTTTCTCTTTTTTCTCTACTCCTTTGTCTGTCACATATTTTTCACCCCTGTTTCGTTTCTCCTTTCGTGTCTGTTTTTTATTTATTTTTTTTTTCGTTTTCTTATGCCAAACGTACGACTCTCGTTAATTTTTGTTTCTTCGTTTTTATCGCTCTCTTCAGTATTGCTCTCCGATTCTGAAGTTGTGCCTGAAGAAAGAGCCGCCATTTCTTCTTTAACAATAAAGTCTGAATCATCGTGTGTTGGACCCAAAAGATGGGTGGACATCAAACTTCTTAGAAATTTCATTCACAGGCACTGTATCCTGATTATTATAAGACGGAGGCTCGAGAATATTACCGTTTTGATTTTCTTTATTTTCTATTGTTTTTTTTTATTTTTACATTTAAAACGTACGACTCTCGTTAATTTTTGTTTCTTCGTTTTTCTCGCTCTCTTCAGTATTGCTCTCCGATTCTGAAGTTGTGCCTGAAGAAAGAGCCGCCATTTCTTCTTCAACAATAAAGTCTGAATCATCGGTGTTGGACCCAAAAGATGGGTGGACATCAAACTTCTTAGAAATTTCATTCACAGGCACTGTATCCTGATTATTATAAGACGGAGGCTCGAGAATATTACCGTTTTGATTTTCTTTATTTTCTATTGTTAGGTAAACTAACCCATTTTCATCGAGTAAATCGACGGTTAAGTCGTCTATTAGTGTCTGTGACAGTCCAAGGTCAAAACTAGTTGTTAGATTTCTGTCACTTTCTATAAATTCATTTGTAGTTTCTTCTTGCCCTCCCAATGCCAACTGAATGATTTTTTTCGATCTCTCTGACTTAATGTGCGAATCTGGAATAACAGACAAACAACATTTAGCAAAAGGGCGAATATCCTAACTACAATTCAGCAAAAAGACGAACGTGCATTCATGTTAATAGAAGAATCTATCTATTTCACAGAGAAATATATACATTACGTCTAGTTTATATAAAGGGTAATCAAAAACAATTAATTAACTGCAAAATAGAGACAATTTCACTTACCAAAGACAATATGTGCTCTTACCAAGATCACAACTAGTACTGACACAATCTCTTCGGCTCCCCTCCCATCAAGTTTATACCTACGTTCGTCCTTTTGGCGTGGTGTTAATTGTATATTCGTTCAGTGATTTTACAGTTTTTTTTTAAATAAAATGTTTGTTTTTAGAGATATTAATTCGCCCTTTTGCTACATCGTATAGAACGTTATATTTTATCCGAAAATACCATCGATATAAAATTCAAAGTCAGGTGGTTGTGCGTGAGAGAGAGGGCCAAGCGCCTGATAAGTGTATTAGAGGAGGACAAAGAATAGCCGCTGCGCTCAGCGTATCTGTCGAATTAGAGAGAGTGCGCATGATTGTTTTATATGGAACTGTGAAAGACAGAATTTGTGTATAGTCTAATAACATTTTGGAATGATTGATAATAAATTCATTTTAAATAATATTTTTAACAATTTCATATATTTACGTGAACGGATTATAATTACTTTATTAATAAAAAAAATATTTTATGTAGAGGCATCGAATTATTCGCTGAAATTAAATGTTAGTAATTAATAGTTTATTGTTAATTTTGTTTTTCGAAAAAACCAAGTTGTAAGTAACTGAAAAAAAATACTCTAGAAAATCAGAGAAATAATGTTTATCACATTTTTAACTTGTAGGTAATCTTTATTTCGAAACATAGTACATAAAAAGTAAATAATTATAAAAATTATTAACATTTTTAACATTCACCATCGGATTCATCGGTAGTTACCGGTTGATTTTCAGACTCCGATAATTCGTCATCATTTTCATTATCAGTCATTTGTGCAATGTATATTTTTAAAGGCATCCAATTGGTTTCAAATAATTATTCTCCAAAGTCCAGCCGCAGTTTTCAGGACGCAATTTTAAACATTGTTGATCTGTCGCATGAAGCCACATAGAATTTTGCGTACTATCGTACGCAAAAATTTTTGCATTAATGAAGACCAGCACGGTGGTATACTGTTTGAGGTTTGAGTCGAAGGATTTGACTCTTTTTAAAAAAGTATTGTTATCTTCTTTTGCAGAGTATGTTTTAATGAAAATTTGATATCTTGCTTCATTAACACTGACACCGTGTTTGATACCATACATATTGGTCGTAAACTCCTGAACAACATTCATTTTCTCAGAAATGAAAATGTCGGCCTTATCTAGCAAAGATGCAAACATTTTTTGGTAGGTTTCGTTTTGTGAGAAAATTTTAAACGGCCTAACTTTACCTTTATTATAAAAAGCGGCCGTGTAATCACTACCTGTAAACGCATGGTAAGCAGGTAGACTTTTGCATAATGTAGGTCCCAGTTTTTTGCCAAATCCGTGCAATTAATGCAATCTAGATCTTTTGTATTTTTCTTTTTATTTGCTGAACTCGCCAGCCAAATTTTAGAATGCTCCATACTATTAATATTTCCCAGTAAAATAATTAATACATCAGTGTCTGAGAATTTAATTAGAATTTTTGAGCCAGGTTTAACTTTAGAAGAGTGGAAAATCATCCGGGTATCAGCCTCTTCGTGATGACACATGTATTCCACTTCTTCATTTCTTACGACGCGATTTTCCTGCGCTGCATAAGAATAACAGTACTCGTTGACAGTCAAAAAAATTTGTTTGTTTTGAATAATTGTTGTGAAATTATCGTTGTCCCAAAAATTGTGCAAAAATTTAACCAAGGCTTCTTTAAATCTGTAATTTTTTAGGCATTTCAAAAATCTGTCGGTCGTGTTTGTTGAGGTCCAGAAATATTAAATGGAACATCGAATTCTTGACGATTTTGTCGTTCTGAATCTTTAATGGATGGCGTTAAATAGCGATCAAATACTAAATGTATTTCTGTGGCATTTGTTGAGCAAAGTTTTATCAGTATAGACTCAGCGATTTTTTCGAAAGTTTGTGGCATTGAGGATCCAATCAGGTACAGAAAATAAAAACCATCTATTATTTCCACATCAACTTGTCGTGGCTCAGCAATTTCGACTTTTGACTTCAATCATTTAGCTAGCGCCGATTTATCTGTCTTTAGTATTTCACCATCACATGAAAAAAGAGCAGGTGGCATCGGTGCTAAAGGAAAAGTTAAGCAATGATCTATATTTATTTTTTTTTATACTAACAGCTAACAATCGCCCGAAGATATCTCGTTCCATCTTTAATATTACCGTCTTAGTTTTATTTTTATTCATCAAAACCTTCGTGGCGAACTCAGAAGCAAAATTTAAAATGTTATTTCTTTTTATGGGTTTTTCAAAACTACTAGAATCTGAGTTGCATTCTGATATGAAATTTAATTTTTGTTCATGACCTTCCGTTTTAATGTTGAGTAGGAATTTAGCAACATTTTCAGAAGCAGCTTTGTCCGTCGAAATATTAAATAAAATATTTTTATCAACATTATCGTCAAATGGATTCATTGTATTCTTGATAGCTTGAATGATACTTTGCAGATTTTTGTTGTCCTTGTTAATTTTGCTTTTCTGTAACGAATGTGAAGTATCATCTTTTTTAGACAATCCAATATTCTCCTTAACAGCAGTTAGTATTTTTGTCCTCATACTATGACTAAGCGCCCATCTTTGTCGTGCTGATATTGATTCAACAGCAAGATTATTCGTCAATTCATTATTAGCATCAGCATTAATAGTTTGTTCTAACGTTAAGTCAACTGGTGATCTCGAAAAATTAGCTTGTGTACGACGGATGCCAAATGCACCTCGATGAAATTCTGCAATCAAAGATGAATTTGCTGTATGCTGTCGAATCAAATTACTTAAATACAACAAACTCCATCTGGCATAATTCGGCTGGTTTAATCCAAAAAATAAATCAATTATATTAAAGATAAAATCAATATATAATTCAAAATTACTTGTCCGTATGCTTCTTGAAAATCGTTGAATAAATTCGCAATACTGATAGTAATACTGAGCTGTTTTCTCTTTTTCACCTTTTAAAGTTTGCTGGCTAAATTCTTGATACCCATTAATTATGCGATTTAATGTGTCAGGTAATTCAATAGGATCATTTAGATTAAATGTGGGTGCATTTACTATTACCGTTCTTAATAAGTCATCTAGCATCTCGAGTGACACATTTGATGTAGATAAATATTTTTCGAAATGTAACTTTTGTAATGCTGCAGCAGTTAAAGGATGTAAACGCTTACAGCGATTAAAATGTTTACTTTCCAAAAAGCTATTCATCGAACCACTAGCCAATACTTCTGCTTGCACTAAAGCCTCTACTAATCCACAAGAATCTACGTATTTTCCAACAGCTTTAAAAAAAGCAATCTGCATATGAAACGCGCCCAAGTTTACAAAAATATTATCAAATTTTGGTTTTTCATTTTCTTGAATTTGCATTGCCATAATAGCTAAGTCATATGTCACAATGATGTGGTCTTGTTGACACTTTTCAGCTATTTCACTGGACATAATGAGTGTTTGATTAACTACAGTATAAGAGGTTGGAGAATTTATTGGGGGTAAATATTCCAATTTTGAATTTCACTTAAATCAATCGACGTCATACAGTTAAATCCCAGCCATATGGAAACTGAATCGTTTCGGAGCAAGGAAAGAACCCATAAAATATCTTTCTTTATTGCAATCTCTGTTGCGCCGTTATATGCCTCAATAGTATTAATAAATGAATTTGTACTAATCAGTTCCATACTAGTTGTAGGTTTTGAATAATACGCCTGGACATCTCGTGAAATTCCAGTAAAAGTTCTTCTTTTACTTCTTTTACGTGAAGGTTCCTGCGCTTCTGTATTATTATCATCAATCAGAGACATTGAAGAGGTCGTAGCTTCAACATTGGAATCTTCAGCTTGTGTTGGAGGAAACTGGTAAATAATACCAACAGTGTCATGCATTGTGTCCTTTCCCGATGTCGTATCAACGAAACGATCGAAATTATCGAATGCTACGTGCGTACTGCATCCATCAGTTGGAATGATACCAGTTGGTATGATGTTATTGTCTTGAACCGAAGTATAAGTCATTTCAGTCTCGAGTTCTTCAGCCAAATTATAACTTATCGCATGACCATATCTATTTAGCATTGTCATGACTTGACGAGAATTAGTGAGAGACTTTACTGCTAAACCGAGAGTTAATTTTTTAGCTGGCTTACACCTTCCCCTAGTGACAGCATAAATAATATCACTGCATATTGAGGTTACTTGTATTACAATTTCGTGTGATTTTTTGTTTGAAGTATCAGGACCTCTTACGAGATTCATCATGAAATCATACAGTAATTTTGGGATTTCACATTCCCCACGCATCACATCATCAGCTGTTAAGCGGCTGGGTAACGGTTGATGATAATTTTTCTTAATGCAATTTCTCAAATGAAAAGATACTTCATCAAATTTTTCATCATTTTTCCTCTCTAAAAATTTAGTATTGTTAGCCATAATTGAAACTTCAATATCAGTTTTGTAAACGATTTTTTGATGACGTGGTCCAGTTGATGCTTCAATAGTAATAGTATCACCAAAGTTTTTCAACAATTTTTTTTCTAAAGTTTCAACACGATAATTGACGAGATCAGCAGGTTCTATGATATCATTTTCGAATTCTAATATCACAGCTTGGTATCTCAAGAATAATTTCGCTAGATACATAACCTTGTTATTTACAATTATCTCTTCTGCTATATAATTTGATATACATTCGAAAGCCTGTTTATGAAGATCTCGAGACGCATGCCAACTAGTCTCCACGTGTTCATCAAAGAGCCGCCTTTCTTTAGTTTGATAACCTGCATAACAAGGTTTATGATAAGCAATAGATTGACTTTTCAGTTTTAAAAGAATTTTGGAATCATGTAGAATAGTTGCCATTCTTTGTAGACGATGAGAGAATTCTTCATTCTGTGGATGTATAAGACTGATTACCTTATTTCCACTTTTCTTTTGTTTACAGTTACAAAATATACAAGTTTTTGCCTTATTAAATATTGATCCTGTTGTTGATGGCGTCTGCAAAACAAAAAAATATTGTTTATCAAGTTGATCACTGAAAAATTTACAAAAACCAATACAACATTTGCAAGGTATTTCAGAGCAATAATCAACATTACAAAGACAAAAAAGTGTCAACAATAGAGCAAGTTCACATCATGTCAAATAGATTTTTGTCAATAAATATATGTCTACTTGTATCACGAAAAAAAAAAAAACAAGTTGTATTACCTCATCTACATTAACAGAAACTGGAGTTGCATCTGAAATATTTTCATCTCCATTTTCAGGAGCTTTCGTATTTGATTGTACACTGGAATCTGGATGCTCTCGATGCTCATCAGCTGATGAAAAACTTGGAAGGATCTAAAAATTTTGATTCATTTTTTAGGCATACATTTTCAATGAATAATATATCGATTCAATTGTAAGACATGTTCGTCATTAAAATATTTAAATAATTATTACTGGTCATTATTAAGCAATTACAAACATTATTATTAGAAGACAGTTCTTTTACTTTTATACGATAATGATTAGAACATAACATTAAAAATTACAGACAAGAGAATTTTAATTAAGAAATTTATTTTTTCATAAAGGATTATTCAGTTACGGACTTATTAATTAAAATTTAAAAATTATGTACTTACTTCATGATTTTTAATAAAAGTTTCAAACTCTTCTCGGTATTTACTTTTCAAAACTGTTATTTTACTGAAACACGCGGAATGATAACCAACAAATTTCAGAGATTCTTTGGTTAACTCAATATCATTGTATTTAAAATTTTTTCGCTTCCGGAAATTTAACATCAAAAAGCAATTTTTAAATGTCTCATTTAAACTCAATAACTGAATTTCGTTGGTTACACACAAAACACTTTTTATTCATTTTTTATGTTTGTTTTTAAGTAATGTCTACAGATCATAATATTTAGCACGTGTTCGCCTCAAATTCTCCAAAATGTTATTAGACTATACACAAATTCTGTCTTTCACAGTTCCATAAAAAACAATCTCTCTAATTCGACAGATACGCTGAGCGCAGCGCCTATTATTTGTCCTCCTCTAATACACTTATCAGGTGCTTGGCCCTCTCTCTCACGCACAACCACCTGACTTTGAATTTTATATCTTTAAAGCTCGGCAATATGGTCACTTGAACATTTTTTCGCAGGAAAGAGTATATAATCGCGTTGAATATTTAATTATCTTTATTTTAAACTTTGTTTCAATCAGTTATCAGATCGGTGTACTCACTTGAAAATAATTTACCTGTTCACCCCTGCTTGCCAGGTAGTCTTGAACAAAAATGAGCAGGCAAGACCAACTAGGCATATTCTGTAAGGTTCAAACTTTTGATTTGCAAAAAAATTATTTGGTTATAAAAAAAAATGATTAAAATTAAATTAATTAAAAATAGTCTTGAACATATTTTGATAGGCAAGTTAGCCAAGATGCATTTGTTGATGTGTAAAATTAACTGAAAAATATGTTTCATTCGGTTGGCAGATGGGTGAAGAACGATCTCTCTTCGGCTCTTAGACTATTAGTACATTAACGATTAGATTCCCCAACTATTAACAGTAATCCAGTATCACTGGGAGTAATATTCACAACTAAACGCTATATTAAGCTTAAAATAATTAAATGGAACTAGGGGTAATCGTAAAACTATAACACATAAGGTGTGTACTGTATTTATCAAAATAAACAAATAATAGTCTACTATTTACTGACGCTAGGGGTAAAAACAAGTAAAACTATGTTATTAAAAATATTCATTACCCATCAGTAATATACTTCACGAAGAGCTCTTGGTGACGTGTTTCGGGTTTAATAAAATGTACTATAAACTATTCACCCCTAAACCTCGTTTATATTAGGTTTAGATAAAAATACGTACTAATAACCCCCCAATAAAATAGATTAAATAGTAATATAGTAATAAGATATCAAAAACTTGCGGTACACTGTGACTTCTTTCTGGCTGGGAAAACTCTAGTAGTCGTTGATGTCTCTGCTTTGTTAGCAGTATACAAATCAATCTGCCTGTCATTAAGGTTGCTAGCCCATCCCACGAATACTAGCTGATCACAAGGAGTATTAGCTGGTCACAAGAAATTCTAACTAGTCACAAGAAGTGTCAGCCCGTCGCAAGAATTGTTAGCCCGTCACAAGGACTACTGGCCCGTACCAAGAACTCTAAAGAAAACGTGTAAGATAAAACACAGAAATAACTATTTATCCCTGCTTAATAAAGAAATTAAAATTAAATAACCAGGTATCTACAATGCCTTCTCGTGAAGCGAGGTCTAGAAATAGGTACTCAACGTTTACTAGTTAAATTAAAGTTCGGCTTATCAATTAATGTAGGTAATCTTCAGATTTACAAAGCAACAGGATAGACGGCTCGTAAAGCGAGTTCTACCCAATAATTACATTTAATAGGTAAATTACACCCTTAGATTTCAAAATACTACCCCTCAATAGTCAATCCCATATACTGAAAATATATACAACGAAAAGAAACATAACTTAGTCTAGGTAAGCATTCTAACTAAAATAAAACTATATTTACCCTTTTAACAGCTACAGGGGAGACACGAAGCACCAGATAAAATTGAACTACAAATTCGTGAACAGCTTATCCAGAAAGACTACATATATATGTGGGCACTGAAATAAAAGACGAAGGCCTTACAAAAAGAATTACTACGTCGTAACTTTAAATACTGCGTAGAAGAAAACTTACCAATGAAATTCAACACGTGGTTAAATATTAAGGTGGGTCGAAACAGGCCTATTTTTTTCTTTTTTTTTTAATAAACGCTACTCTGAAAAAGTTGTCTTATGATGTCTTGAGGTATAATTAAAAAAAATTGGAGTTTTTTAACAAATTTTAATTTTTGTTTTAATTTTGTGGCGCTACTTAAAAAAGTTTACTTAAGGGCTTTTCAATACTCTAAAAAAACTGGACCAAAATGTATCATTTTTAACCAGTCCCACGGGCCCTACCGCAGGCGGACATTAACAGAAATATACTTTTCTTTAACTTTTGTGCAACTTTTCGCTTGACTTAGTGATTTATAATTAAGAGTGGAATTACATATCGCTAAATCAACCCAGAACACATCACGCGGAGGTATTTGCACCTAGAGTTCTTCCCATTTAGGGACCCTTCCGCCCTTTTTTATAGCAATTTATGTTTCATTTCGCTTTTCAAAATATTGCGATTTGTAATTAAATGCTGGTAAAATTTTTCATCCCTCTAATTTTATTCTAATATATCCATCTCTGGATGACTCATCGCAAACCTTAGTAGAAGCTTCAGTTACTAATTTTACACACCGCTTGTGTGACATGGAATTTTTTCAAAATTTAGGGCTTCTTTTCCTGTCACAATATTATCTAACGTTTCATTTGTTATATTAAATGTTAATGGCGGTTCGGTGATCCTAGTTTCCTGCCAATCTATCAAGTCTATGTAATCGTCAGCATCTAAATTTAAAAAAGGTACCCTAAAAACTGACCATTTTATTAGTTTGCATCCTACATTTTTTAATTCTTCTTGCAGCTAATTCTCTAATGTATGGACGTGGGTCGCTTAGCATTGCGAAAAGTAGGTTCTTAGGGTGGGCAAAATATGCATTGTCGGCAAAGACTTTGTTAGTTATATGTTTAACGTTATCTGGGAATCCTCTTGAAGCATTAATAGCTTTGCACAGGTATCTCGCTCCATCGCAAATATATGGTTTTGTTTTAATTGCGAACCAAACAGGTGCGTAGACCTTTAAAATAAATTCGGTTAAAATAACTTGAGTGGGAGATGGATTTTTAGTAGCGATATAAAGGCGTAGCATTCTGTTGGCTGTTGTAAGCCACGGGGCATGTGACATCTTTCCTGGATCTCTCTTTGCCAAATTGGGAGCAATGGTTTCATTTTGAATGCTTATGCAAATCTTATATAGATACTGCTGATCTGTATTTAAGTCGTCTGGTTGGAGTTGAGGAAGAGATGTCTTATTGGTTTAAACTCTATAATTGGCATGTCTTGACAGTGTTTTAAAAGATCCCCAATTGGCCCCGAAAAGCTGTAAGGTCCTTTGGTATCTCCATCTAGACTTTGCAATAAGTGCCTCAAAGGTAGCTCATTGGCATGGAGCAGACAAATGCACCATTAAAGGGGCCTTTTAATGTCATTTTCAATTAATCTAATGATACCTCCCTTCCACCCAGTATTTACATGTGTACCATCACAACCTATCACTGATATCTCGGCTGCTCCATTCCAAAACACAGTATGTGTAAAAAATAAAATTGTGAATAAAATGTGTTTTAGTTTTTTTACTTGGCCTTTGTAGGCTATTTAACGAATTCTTTTGATATTAATGCTGTGTAATACAGTTTTTCATCAATTTTTTTTCGCCTCTTTAAAGTTTACATAAATTTAATTTTAGCTATAGATTGGATACTTACTTGGTTTTGACGTAGGTTATGGAACATTTTTTTTTACCATAGTATCTGCAAGGAGAATCTATACGAATATAACGATAAAGGTAACAACTTTTTAATTAGTCAAAATTAACTTTTACATAGCAAAAACGAAAGGGCATTTTAAAAATTACTAAAAATTAAATCCTAGTTTTATAGAGAATCCTAAAAATACTGGAAAAAAAAAGGTTTCTGAACCAAATCACTACATACTATCGACTAAATAAACATTGTCATATTCTTTCATTAAGTCTGGAGCGGAATCACTTTCAACTAGATTATTCCAAAAATCCAACCTGTTTTGTGGCATTAAAGGCCCCACACTTTTATGATTTCTTCTTTCTTGGATTTCTGTATCCCACGTTTCGGTAACGTTTCTGGCATGCTTTGGATATTAAATTTCTTCTGCAGAAAATCGAGCGATTTATACTCTTTTTGGTCAAAATCGGTTTTGTATTCTAAGCATTTTGATCCCTTCTTAAATCGTACCTCAACTATTGGACTTAAAAAAAACCCATTGAGAGGATCATCGCTATTTTTTCGAACTTGTCTCTTCTTTTTTTCCCATTTGTGAAAAACATTTACATCTAAAACTTGAAGGCCCTTTCTTGAAGAAGCAACTGCGGCGGTGAGATCGCTATAATCATATATATATATATTGCCAATCTTATTAATTTTGGTCTCTATATTTCCGTGGACGCCATCGGCACTCATATGTGTGTGCTCTTTGGTAAGATATCGTAAAGTCACACAATCCGGTCCAGTTTCTTGATTGATGAACCAAATTAGCGATGTGTACAGGATCCAATTTTTATTTTGTCCTGTACAATTATCTGTCCAAATAAAAAATTCTTTAACATCTCGTTCTTCCTGGAAAAAATAGCATCGACAATATTATGACCATCACGTCCTGCCAAACCCTCATGCCACATGGAGCAATAATTTTTAAACAAGGACTTTTTTTTTAGAGCAGCAAAAGTCAAATTGAATGCTGTGAGGCGGCTTACAAAATGACTATCTTTTACGGCGGGCATATTAGGAATTAAGATGACCTTTTGCAAATCCATGGAATATATTCTGATATTTTCAGTATCTGATATTAAACTATCCTCATGGTATTTGTTAGTGGCTTTTGTAGCCTTTGCTTTGTGGATATTCCATTTTGCCTCATTTTCAACATTCAGCTCAATGTTTTCCTTTGACTGATTCTTGAAAGTTTCGCAGTCAACACAAACGTCAGATTTGGGCATGCATAAAGAAATATGAATTAATTTCATGGTCTTCCTATACAACTCAATCTTACAGAATCCAGGATTTTCACGTTGAAAATCATTGAACATAGATTTAATCGTTGTCCCTCGGTAAGTATTTCATATTTGGTGCATTGTGTCGTCTATAGTGGGTAATACAGGGCCTGTATTTATTGATGTGGTTCATAATAACAGTTCGTTCCCGTTTTCTTTTATAATTTCTAGTGGTACTCCTATTTTCTCTTACAGCAGCCAGCAAAGGACTTTTCTTCATAGCGGCGCATAATTCAGTGATAACGGAATCATTGGAATACCCAAGAGAATTGTGGCGATTTTGCATTTATATCGCCCAGAACTATGGCTTCTTTTTTCTTTTGTTTTATAGCATCAACTATTTCGTCTGCGGTTTTTTTGAATTCTTCTATTGGCTTGTTTGGGGACATGTAGCAGGTTATTAATATTATTATTTTGTTTAGTTCCAATAGTATCCATCCTCTACCCAGGTTTGTTTGGAGAATTCTTAGTTGCATTTTTTTTTCTTATATAATAGATTTGTGTATAAATAAATATGTGTGTATATATATATATATATATATATATATATATATATATATATAAATAAATAATTTATGTGTATCTGTACAGGTAGTTTAAAAGTATATAGAGTAGTTGATTTCCCTTTTTTTTTTCTTCTTCTTCTTCTTCTTCTTCTTCTTCTTGTCCTCACTTACGTGTCTGGCTTGTCCTCCTGAGGCTTTTTTTTAGTATGTAGGGGCGAAGCCCCCCATCATAGATTTTGATGAGCGTTTGCCCTCCTAATCTCATCCCTCAGGGCTTTCTGATATTTCGGGCACATGTTGCTAGTATGCCCCTTTTCCTCGCAGGTCCAGCAATATGGAATGTGGTTTTTGCATTCCTTGGCGAAGTGTCCCTCATCCCCGCATTTTCTACATCTGGCCTCTCTGCTTGGGCGTCTACAGTCCTGTGCTTTGTGTCCGAAGCTCCAACACTTATAACATTTTTCGAACACTATTTTTTCTCTGGTTCTACAGCTGGTCCAGCCTATTTTCACACTTCCGGCTTTTAGTATCTTTTGTGTACTAGCTTCATCTGCTAGTATTAGTGCCGTCTGCCTTCCTCCGGTTGTTTGTCTTAGAGGTTTCACCTCTATCCTGGCGCCTTCTACGGCTTCCTTTATGGCGACTCTTACTTCTTCCTGGGAAGTAACTGCGTCGATGTCCTGAATGTATATAGGGACTCTACTGTCTCCTGCGTATTTTATATTTCCCCCCTCCCATTTCTTGGAGATAATCTCTTTCAGTCCTTCGAGGTCCTCGTTTTTATTTAGGGTGATCAAGAGGTCCCCGTTTCTCGTTCTCTTGAGGTCCCTAATATAGTTCTTCACCTCGTCTTTACCAACTTTCCCTTTTATGTCTTTCAGTAGATCTTCATAACTTTTCCCCTTTGCTTCAATGACCAGTGCTTGAGTCTCATGGTCTCTTTTTTTTGTCTTAACGGCCAGGAATATTTTGTCGCAGATAAGCCTTGCCTTTTCTGTCCCCTTCGCTGTCATTACGTCTCTTAATTTATGACCTGCCTTTATGAGGGCCCTGTCAGCGCCGTCCGTGATGTCCCCACCTATAAAGAAGATCTTTCTCTCTTCCGGCTTTGTATGGCTTCCCTCCATTACCTCAAATTCTTTTTTTTTACTTAGGCACGCAGCGCTTCCTCTATCCACCATGCTTCCCATTATAATTTTGCCAATTTCTCGGTTCTGTGCAATATTCATGTTTTGCTTCTCGCCTTCCGGATCAAATATAATGGCGTAATCTAGGTCTTCTTCTAGGCTGGGCGGGTCCCCATCTATAATTTCTGTGTTTCCATATATGTCTCTGTTCCATGGTCTTTGTATAACTTGCTGTATGCCTTCTATATTATTATTTTTCCGTATTTCCTCAATTAGCTGGTCCCTACTTTTAATTGTTTTCGCTTCCTCCTCTGTTTCCGTCTGTGTGCCACTCGAGTTTGTTTTCATATTCGTCTGAGCGCCTTTATCTGCCATTTCTTTTTCACATTTGTACCCTGGGAATTTATAATTTTCTACCTCTTCTTTAAGTTTTTTGACTGCCCTTGCTAGCTCTTTGGTATTGTCCTTGATTTCTCTCTTAGTATTTGTATTCTCCTTTATCAGTCTTTGCATATATTTCGTGATTTGCTCTAGTTTTTCTAGCGTCTTCAAAGTGAGAAGAGGGGTCTCTTCTTCTACTTCTTCCTGATGTTCATCCTTTTGATCTTCTTTGTTTTTTCCATCTGTTTTGCTTTCCTCCGTCTTTTTTATTCTATTTTCACCTATATTGAGGATATTTCGAATTACCGCCTCTTCGTCCTCTTCATATAGTTCTATGTTCTCTGACTTTTACATTCTTTAGGTAAAAAAAACTTGCGACTATCACCTTTTGCGAAGCCTGTGTCCGGATTGGCTGGTACAGTAGTTCTTCTCTTCACAGGTACTATCTGGACATTTTTAGCCAACCATTTACTCCTGGAACTGTATTCTAATGACCAATATTGTTCCCAAATTTCAAATCGTTCTTCTTCAGAAAACGTAGAACCGCATTTTTTAGCACATTTTTCTGAGCACGGTGGTTTTATGGGATGTTTTTCTTTGTCACGAGCAACTTTTTCTTCTTTCGTTAAACGTTTATATTTTTGGTTTTCTTTCTGCCGTCTTTTAACAGGAGGCTGAATGTCAGGGGCAATAACAGTTATCCAATTTCTGTACATCGGAAATTGTTCCTTGCTCAGCTTCGGGTGAACTGTTAAGGCTGCGAATCATCATCCGTAATTTATTACTGGAATCGTCAAGATCAGGATTAAAATCGGGATCGGCAACACCATCATCACTAAATTATTATTATTATTTTGTAAGGCTATTTCTTGACTTCTGAAACAAGAAAATATCTAATATTAACTAAGAAAACAAAGCAACTCTAGGACGCCACTGAGCTTAACAATTTTAATCTAGTTAAAGCCAAATAACCCCATTATTACTCCAAATTTCAACAAAATCGACAAACCGTTTTTTTATGATACTAGTAAAAAAAGATTTAAAAAAGTTCAACAACCTGTATTTTGAAAATTACGCATTTACAGAC